GGATTTTAACTTATATAACTATACATAGATTTATACATGCACATTAACATATTGCATAGCTTTTACATTATTTTACATCTGTGTAATCTCATTTTTTAAATATAAATAGTTATAATTCTCATGGAAAATTCCTTGAATTACTTTACTTGAAAAATGCGACTTATTATATTTAACAGATTATGCTGTTATAAACTTCCTCTTAATGGGCTTTCAATGTTATTGTGTCTAATATATTGCAAATTCTATACAATGAAAATAAAATTAATTATATTTTATTTTATGTAACTTACAATAAAAGATATACATCTGCAATATATTATCTGATCAATAATTTTATTATTTCTTGTATGTAATATTAAATATATAATATATTGATATATTTTATATTATATATATTTTTTTCAAGTATTCAATTACATAAATAAATAGCTATTTTTCAGATATAACTTTCGAAAATGGAATTTGGAATTTCTGCCATATTAGGCAAACAAATCTTTCCTAAAAACTGATTAATGCAATAAATTTGAATACCAAGGTATATTAATTAGATACAATATTTCCAAATATATAAATCATAAATATGTATTGATGATGTCTTAGATCATTATTTGATACCAACAATTTGATTTCTTAATTTTGGTTATCGTGAACATATCATAAAAGTGTATAGCATATATTGTAAACAATTATTGTACTTTTATATATACTTATATATTAATCCGACAGAGTTCACAATTGATCTTGTAGAGATAAATATGTAACATTTTATGTTAATGAAACCTTAATTAGAGAAAATATTTCATAGTCATTTTCTTTCCTGTTTTCTGCAATTGCTAAAATAAAATAAATTTATAATTGGATTATTATTCTTTAATATTTTTTTTCTTATGTAAGCATAAATATAAATACATTTTTTTTAAAGAGAGATAAATGTAAATGTAAATGCAGCAAACTCTTTCGGATTAATATAAAATATAAAGCATATATGTTTCAGGTACATGCTATAGTTATTAGTAAATATTTTTTGTTTAACTAATATCACATACATATAAATGAAATAAAAGTAAAGTAAAAAACATATATTCGCGGAACATACATATATATAATAGCGCACGATGAAATAATAATAAGTTATAAAGTTTTTTCTAAATTAAACTTTTTATCATACAATTATGCAATATATTCGTATTTTAAAATATTTTAAAATAACAGAAAATTAATATTATTATAAATTTTCTTACTATAACTTGTACAATTTAATCTTTAATATCAATTGATTTATATATCCTATCTTATCAATTGATTCATATATTATATATATCTTATCTCTTACACTACCATATATATCAATAGACTACACATGTATACATCTGTTAACAAACAGATATTTAATATATATTTCTGCAAATTATAGGATGGAAATATTATTTATATATGAACTATTATAAAAAAAACATTTATTATTATTTAAAAAAAGTAGTTTTCTCTCTTTTTGTATTCATTCGTGTTACAATAGTCATATATTAAGGATATATATAACTCATTTAAATTATGATTAATAAATTCTGAAGAAAGTGATTTGTGTGGTATAGATTATATGAAACAGAAATTTAATTAAAAGTGATATATTTACATCTTAAGAACAAATTATATGTGGAAGGCAACAATATATTTAAAAAGATTTGCAAGTATTTCTGTAATTTAGTATTGCAAGAAAAAATAAAATGTACAAGATATAAATAATAATTGCATTATACGGCTAATCTCTAATTCAGGTATGTGGAAGAGAAAAGGTAACTTTTTTTTTTTTTATCACAATATTGAGCTATGTACTTCATATGGCTATTTGCAATGCATATCCTTTGACAACAGATAATTGGAAGTACCTTTTACTAAACTTTAATCTTTTAATATGCGACTCATATGCAAATGTTTCTTAATTGCAAAACATTGAATTAGCTAATGTACGACAAATATTTTTTTTAGTAAACTTATATACATTTTACATCGACAAACTTTTTTTAATGAAATGATATGTCATGTCGTTTCGTATTTCATCTCATATTTCAGCGCTTCAATGTAATTAAGATGCTAAGGGCTACATTATGTATTATAAATGCAATTTATCACTTTAGTTCATTGTAATACATAATACCTTTTTGTCACTTAAAATTATTTTTATCCTGCTATGTCTTTTAAATGAATGTAATATTATTTCCTCGGATACATATCTTGTGTCTATATATATTTACCACCTTATTGTACCATGCTTCTATCTCAATCCTTACTTTCAATCGCCCATGTTTGTTTTTTCTTGTAATATCTGGTAGTAACATGCCTGTGTAATGAAATTAATTTTATTTCTTAACTCTCGGTTTTCTCAATATTATCTTCTATATTTATATCTTACCTTAAGGGTAGTGAACATAATACCAAGCTCTCCATTTTGTAAATATGGCTCCATGAAATCTTCGATAAAATGTATTTCACTCCCTAACTGCAATACACTAGCGCGCACTACAACAAAACTAAACACTGGAAATAGTTCATCCATTGTCCATAAATATGTAGACCCTAGTTGTTTTTGTACTGCCTATTGATAGAGATACGAATCGATATAAATAATTTAATTAGACGTATTTATCATAAATAATAATATCCATGATATTGCCTATACATATCCTTACTTGTGTCATTTGTTCAAATGTATTTCTGACCACTAACAGTTTTTCTAAAGGCGAAAAAGTTGTTTTCAGTTGCTGTAAAGTTTCTATAGCATCACTAAAGTAAGATTCATGATACGGTAATGAATTATCTGCAATGTTTATTACATTTGTCGTTTTCCAGAATTTCCTACAATTTTGCAGAAGTACAAATAATTAGAAATGTGTTAAACACAAATAAAATTATTATACAATATAATAAAATAAAATCTCTCTATAGATGACACAATTTATTTTTTCTATCAGTTATGTATCTAGTACACTTACTGGTCAATTTCAAGGAAGGCCATCAGAGTTATATCAGGTTGCTTATTCCATTTCATTAATCTTTCCCAATATGCGTCATCCTCTTTTTTATTATGTAAGGCATACAATACAAAAAGTGCTGAATGTACACGTGGCAGTAATATCGGATGAAGTATCGCGGTAGCGCTTATAACTTGTCTGAAAATAAATATCCTTAAATCGCATCAATACAATTTTTCCAAAAGCCTTAAATATAATCTTGTGGATTTTATAATACATACTCTTCTTCACCATCAGTTTCAAGAACGTACTCTTTACCACAACGCGGTAAAGCCGGGAATAAAAAAAGGACAATCTCGTATATCCTTGTTGTAATACTATGCAATTCCGATACTGCGTGGCTAAGTAATAATGGATGTACTCTCACTCCACCATAAGTGGCTGTATATACCGCAGCTACTTCTATCAAAAGGGCGCCCAATGGATGATGCGGACTTTCAAAAGCTTTCACTAAATATTTGTGAATTTCGTTGTAAGTTTGACTCGTGAGTTTGTCTCGTCCGAAACATGGTATCTTATCCAATTGATCAATTGTTTCGCTATTTCTTTCCTTCATATTTGAGGCAGTCTTAGCAGAGAATTTTTTTCGTTGTAATGTCTTTTGATGAGACTTTGTTATTATACTAGCAACATTCTGCCATACTCTTTGTGTTTCTACAGATTTTTCATTGTAATTGGAACTTTTGGTGACAGATTCGGATATGCCAAGTTGTTGATAGCATTGTTTAAATATGGCTTTCCATTTTTGATCAGCGGATACACATAGTTTACCGAAAGACCTAATATAATAAATATAATAAGTGTTAATAATATAAAAAATTATATATATCAATATAATATATAATTAAAAACCTTTAATAATTTATTCTAATCTGCTATTTTTTACTTCGTTATTTATTAATTGAAACTAGAAAAAAAAAAGAGCAATATCTAATATTACAATTATATAGGACAAGAAAGAACACTTACGCTGGTTTTGAATTGGTTTGTGCAGTTCCACTAGCTTTATTCATATGCAATGTGGCGATAACTTTGACACCCTCATTCCACGCGCCATTCATATTACCTTCTAATCTGTCACCACTTCGGAATGTTAAAGTACCTTTTCCACAAAATATTCCTGCAGACTTGAACTCGCCTTCATAATGCGTGCCATCCTCAAATACCATTACTCCATGACCCTTCAACAGATAATATCAATTATATCAATATAATTCATATGTCTTCAATGTTTCTTATATTAAGAAAGTATTTGTGAATATATAGTCACTGTTAAGACATCTTGTGTAAAAGCTCCTTCGTAATAAATGCCATCGAGTGTCACAATTAAACCATTACCATGTTTCAGACCATTACTCCATGATCCAAGATATTTTTCACCTATAATATTATTGAATAATAAGAACGTAATTTCGATATTGTA